AAATAATTGAAAACTTTTCATTAGAAATTTAGTAGAGCACACAAGGTGATCCAGGAAGTTAATGTCAATCGCATTACATCTCTGGAAACAATGCCAGATATTATTCCACCCATTGAAACATATAAGAAACATATAAGGCTGCACTTACAGTTGAATGGCTCTTAACTTTAGGCGAACTGAACAAAAGCGGTTATAAGACACTGGACACGAGGAACTTTAAAGCAAATACCAGTAGGAATCCGTTGATACACGGATGGCTCTAAATTTTGAGACAAAGTGGGCCTAGGTTTTATATTGAATAGCCAGAAACAGAAATTATACACCGTTTACCTAATCACAACACTAGCTTCCACGCAGAAGTCCGAGCAATAACGGAATGCGTAAATTGGATTAGAATAAATATGGTCTATATAGACTATAGACCAGACTATACTAGACTATAGACTAGACTATAGACTAGACTATAGACTAGACTATATACTAGACTATAGACTAGACTATAGACTAGACTATAGACTAGACTATAGACTAGACTATAGACTAGACTATAGACTAGACTATAGACTAGACTATAGACTAGACTATAGACTAGACTATAGACTAGTATAGACTAGACTATAGACTAGACTATAGACTAGACTATAGACTAGACTATAGACTAGACTATAGACTAGACTATAGACTAGACTATAGACTAGACTATAGACTAGACTATAGACTAGACTATAGACTAGACTATAGACTAGACTATAGTCTAGTCTATAGTCTAGTCTATAGTCTAGTTAAGTCTAGTCTATAGTCTAGTCTATAGTAGTATAGTCTAGATAGACTATAGACTAGACTATAGACTAGACTATAGACTAGACTATAGACTAGACTAGACTAGACTATAGACTAGACTATAGACTAGACTATAGACTAGACTATAGACTAGACTATAGACTAGACTATAGACTAGACTATAGACTAGACTATAGACTAAACTATAGACTAGACTATAGACTAGACTATAGACTAGACTATAGACTAGACTATAGACTAGACTATAGACTAGACTATAGTCTAGTCTATAGTCTAGATAGACTAGACTATAGACTAGACTATAGACTAGACTATAGACTAGACTAGAGACTAGACTATAGACTAGACTATAGACTAGACTATAGACTAGACTATAGACTAGACTATAGACTAGACTATAGACTAGACTATAGACTAGACTATAGACTAGACTATAGAAGACTATAGACTAGACTATAGACTAGATATAGACTAGACTATAGACTAGACTATAGACTAGACTATAGACTAGACTATAGACTAGACTATAGACTAGACTATAGACTAGACTATAGACTAGACTATAGACTAGACTATAGACTAGACTATAGACTAGACTATAGACTAGACTATAGACTAGACTATAGACTAGACTATAGACTAGACTATAGACTAGACTATAGACTAGACTATAGACTAGACTATAGACTAGACTATAGACTAGACTATAGACTAGACTATAGACTAGACTATAGACTAGACTATAGAGACTAGACTATAGACTAGACTATAGAAGATATAGACTAGACTATAGACTAGACTATAGACTAGACTATAGACTAGACTATAGACTAGACTATAGACTAGACTATAGACTAGACTATAGACTAGACTATAGACTAGACTATAGACTAGACTATAGACTAGACTATAGACTAGACTATAGACTAGACTATAGACTAGACTATAGACTAGACTATAGACTAGACTATAGACTAGACTATAGACTAGACTATAGAGAGACTATAGACTAGACTATAGACTAGACTATAGACTAGACTATAGACTAGACTATAGACTAGACTATAGACTAGACTATAGACTAGACTATAGACTAGACTATAGACTAGACTATAGACTAGACTATAGACTAGACTATAGACTAGACTATAGACTAGACTATAGACTAGACTATAGACTAGACTATAGACTAGACTATAGACTAGACTATAGACTAGACTATAGACTAGACTATAGACTAGACTATAGACTAGACTATAGACTAGACTATAGACTAGACTATAGACTAGCTATAGACTAGACTATAGACTAGACTATAGACTAGACTATGAAGAGACTATAGACTAGACTATAGACTAGACTATAGATACCTAGACTATAGACTAGACTATAGACTAGACTATATAGACTAGACTATAGACTAGACTATAGACTAGACTATAGACTAGACTATAGACTAGACTATAGACTAGACTATAGACTAGACTATAGACTAGACTATAGACTAGACTATAGACTAGACTATAGAATAGACTATAGACTAGACTATAGACTGACTATAGACTAGACTATAGACTAGACTATAGACTAGATATAGACTAGACTATAGACTAGACTATAGACTAGACTATAGACTAGACTATAGACTAGACTATAGACTAGACTATAGACTAGACTATAGACTAGACTATAGACTAGACTATAGACTAGACTATAGACTAGACTATAGACTAGGACTATAGACTAGACTATAGACTAGACTACAGACTAGACTAAGACTAGACTATAGACTAGACTATAGACTAGACTATAGACTAGACTATAGACTAGACTATAGACTAGACTATAGACTAGACTATAGACTAGACTATAGACTAGACTATAGACTAGACTATAGACTAGACTACAGACTAGACTATAGACTAGACTATAGAGACTATAGACTAGACTATAGACTAGACTATAGACTAGACTATAGACTAGACTATAGACTAGACTATAGACTAGACTATAGACTAGACTATAGACTAGACTATAGACTAGACTATAGACTAGACTATAGACTAGACTATAGACTAGACTATAGAGACTATAGACTAGACTATAGACTAGACTATAGACTAGACTATAGACTAGACTATAGACTAGACTATAGACTAGACTATAGACTAGACTATAGACTAGACTATAGACTAGACTATAGACTAGACTATAGACTAGACTATAGACTAGACTATAGACTAGACTAGACTAGACTATAGACTAGACTATAGACTAGACTATAGACTAGACTATAGACTAGACTATAGACTAGACTATAGACTAGACTATAGACTAGACTATAGACTAGACTATAGACTAGACTATAGACTAGACTATAGACTAGACTATAGACTAGACTATAGACTAGACTATAGACTAGACTATAGACTAGACTATAGACTAGACTATAGACTAGACTATAGGCTAGACTATAGACTAGACTATAGACTAGACTATAGACTAGACTATAGACTAGACTATAGACTAGACTATAGACTAGACTATAGACTAGACTATAGACTAGACTATAGACTAGACTATAGGCTAGACTATAGACTAGACTATAGACTAGACTATAGACTAGACTATAGACTAGACTATAGACTAGACTATAGACTAGACTATAGACTAGACTATAGACTAGACTATAGACTAGACTATAGACTAGACTATAGACTAGACTATAGACTAGACTATAGACTAGACTATAGACTAGACTATAGACTAGACTATAGACTAAACTATAGACTAGACTATAGACTAGACTATAGACTAGACTATAGACTAGACTATAGACTAGACTATAGACTAGACTATAGACTAGACTATAGACTAGACTATAGACTAGACTATAGACTAGACTATAGACTAGACTATAGACTAGACTATAGACTAGACTATAGACTAGACTATAGACTAGACTATAGACTAGACTATAGACTAGACTATAGACTAGACTATAGACTAGACTATAGACTAGACTATAGACTAGACTATAGACTAGACTATAGACTAGACTATAGACTAGACTATAGACTAGACTATAGACTAGACTATAGACTAGACTATAGACTAGACAATAGACTAGACTATAGACTAGACTATAGACTAGACTATAGTCTAGTCTATAGTCTAGTCTATAGTCTAGTCTATAGTCTTAGTCTATAGACTAGACTATAGACTAGACTATAGACTAGGACTAGACTATAGACTAGACCAGACTATATACTAGACTATAGACTAGAATAGACTAGACTATTCTAGACTAGACTAGAATAGACTATTCTAGACTAGACTAGACTAGACTAGACTATAGACTATAGACTATAGACTATAGGACTAGACTATAGGCCAGACTATATTTTCATCTATACAAGACATTTGTTTGACACAATCTTACATACGTAGAGTTTAAGTAGATTTGGGAGGTTTGATGATTGAGTTTCAGCCTTTTTTTGTAAGTGTAATTAGTGGGAGGTACTGTTCTTTGTCATTCTCATAAGGTTAAGTTGAAATGAGGATATAAATATATTATATCCTCCTACAATAGGCCTCTATTGGACTAGTAGAGCGTTCCTGTATTCCAAGAAACTCAGTTTCCCAGGCGTTATTCCTTAGAATTTTCAATCAGTGTTCCATTGTTTCTAACACAAAAAAATACTCTTTTTCCAAATAATAACTTAAATAATTGTAGGAGTTTTAAACAAAATATAAAATATGTATGCAAAACAACCTTGTACTGTCCACACTATCAGCTGAAATGAAATGAAATACACTTAATCATATTTCTTGGGAAACATAATACAGAAACTAGTACTGATGATGTTGGTGGTAGTGGGTGTCTGGGTGTTGGCCTGTCATTACAACTTATAAATGTAGTTTGAAACCAAAAGTGATGCAAATTTGACCTAATTTTTTTTATTCTGTTTCTTGTCTTGTTGCAAAAACTCTATGGAAAATAAAATGAGGAATAGTATTTGATACTTTTAGTTGTAGTTGCAGTAGTGGTGAAAAAAAGGATACACCAACAGCAAATATGTACATATATAGTTTTGTTTTTGCTTCCAGGCTTTTTTGTCATTTACTAAGTTGTGGTAGAGAAATTTTTTGTTTTGTGTTTTGAGAAATAGCAGAAAAAATAGTTTAGTGCAAACACATTTTTTTGATTTAGACAATATGTATTATTTATTTAAAAGAATTCTGTTTTTATGTCAAACGACTAGGGTTAAAAGGGGGAGTGAAAATGTTTATTTCTTTTTTATTTTAAATACTTTTAAGCTAAATGTAATTTTTTTGTGAAAATTAGTTAGTATTTTTTCTACATTTATTGTGCATCATTTAACCAATTAAACCATAAATACTACCATTATACATTTGACCACTTAGAATTACTTTTTCCTTAAAACTGTCTGTCTGTTCAGTTACTCCACTGGTGATAACTTCTTTACATATAAAACCAAATTCTTTAGCATCACAATTAACAATATTCCAAGGCATATTCTTTCGATGTTTCATTATATAAACGCATTGCTTACTGGTTGCCAATTTATCTAACTCCTCGAATGCCCAATTGGAAAAGGTGAATTCTTGCTCATTGTTAGCCCAATGAAAGGAAATTTTATCATAAATCACATTTCCCGCCAATCCATAAGTTTTTGCTTTTATCTAAAAGAAATAAACAGAAAAACTAATTATTAGAGGAAAGTATACTAAAACAGAACCACTTACCATTCAGACCCCTTAACAATTTCATTATTATACGATTCTGCTCCTCACTCTCTATAGCTATCAATTCGGCATCATAACGGGCACATTCATTCCAGGCTTGATACCAATTAAACTTCAATACAAATTAACTATTAAATATGAATTTTCTTCAAAACTTCACTTCCCTTACCTTTTCCTCGGTCTCTATTAGATATTTTATACCATCACTAGCCTCGTACCAGACAGGTTCCATTGCTATTAAATCAAATTGTATTAAAAGTAATACCGCCAATTTGATCCATACCTTAATGTTCTTCATTATTGTAAATACTGTTGAAAACTAGTGAGATTTCCACATTTACTTTATCAATTTATATATGAGAATAATATTTTTATAGTAATCTCCTATTGTCAACAGTTTAATTTAATTTATTTGATAATTTGTACGTCAATAATTGTTTAAATTGAATTTTGTGAGAGCTAGTGGGTGGAATATGATCAGTTGGGGTTCAAAGCGTCAAGTACGCTACACAAATATAGGTAGAACTGAACTACACTGAATTAGGACTGAACTAGGACTGAACTAGAGTCTGAACTAGAACTGAACTAGAACTGAACTAGAACTGAACTAGAACTGAACTAGAACTGCACTAGAACTGAACTAGAACTGAACTAAAACTGAACTAGAACTGAACTAGAACTGAACTAGAACTGAACTAGAACTGAACTAGAACTGAACTAAGAAACTGAACTAGAACTGAACTAGAACTGAACTAGAACTGAACTAGAACTGAACTAGAACTGAAATAGAACTGAACTAGAACTGAACTAGAACTGAACTAGAACTGAAACTAGAACTGAACTAGAACTAGAACTGAACTAGAACTGAACTAGAACTAGAACTGAACTAGAACTGAACTAGAACTGAACTAGAACTGAACTAGAACTGAACTAGAACTGAACTAGAACGAACTAGAACTGAACTAGAACTGAACTAGAACTGAACTAGAAACTGAACTAGAACTGAACTAGAACTGAACTAGAACTGACTAGAACTGAACTAGAACTGAACTAGAACTGAACTAGAACTGAACTAGAACTGAACTAGAACCTGAACCAAGAACTGAACTAGAACTAAACTAGAACTGAACTAGAACTGAACTAGAACTGAACTAGAACTGAACTAGAACTGAACTAGAATTGAACTAGAACTGAACTAGAACTGAACTAGAACTGAACTAGAACTAGAACTAGAACTAGAAACTAGAACTGAACTAGAACTAGAACTGAACTAGAACTAGAACTGAACTAGAACTGAACTAGAACTGAACTAAAACTGAACTAGAACTGAACTAGAACTGAACTAGAACTGAACTAGAACTGAACTAGAACTGAACTAGAACTGAACTAGAACTGAACTAGAACTGAACTAGAACTGAACTAGAACTGAACTAGAACTGAACTAGAACTGAACTAGAACTGAACTAGAACTGAACTAGAACTGAACTAGAACTGAACTAGAACTGAACTAGAACTGAACTAGAACTGAACTAGAACTGAACTAGAACTGAACTAGAACTGAACTAGAACTGAACTAGAACTGAACTAGAACTGAACTAGAACTGAACTAGAACTGAACTAGAACTGAACTAGAACTGAACTAGAACTGAACTAGAACTAGAACTGAACTAGAACTAGAACTGAACTAGAACTGAACTAGAACTGAACTAGAACTGAACTAGAACTGAACTAGAACTGAACTAGAACTGAACTAGAACTGAACTAGAACTGAACTAGAACTGAACTAGAACTGAACTAGAACTGAACTAGAACTGAACTAGAACTGAACTAGAACTGAACTAGAACTGAACTAGAACTGAACTAGAACTGAACTAGAACTGAACTAGAACTGAACTAGAACTGAACTAGAACTGAACTAGAACTGAACTAGAACTGAACTAGAACTGAACTAGAACTGAACTAGAACTGAACTAGAACTGAACTAGAACTGAACTAGAACTAGAACTGAACTAGAACTAGAACTAGAACTGAACTAGAACTGAACTAGAACTAGAACTGAACTAGAACTGAACTAGAACTAACTAGAACTGAACTAGAACTGAACTAGAACTGAACTAGAACTGAACTAGAACTGAACTAGAACTGAACTAGAACTGAACTAGAACTGAACTAGAACTGAACTAGAACTGAACTAGAACTGAACTAGAACTGAACTAGAACTGAACTAGAACTGAACTAGAACTGAACTAGAACTGAACTAGAACTGAACTAGAACTGAACTAGAACTGAACTAGAACTGAACTAGAACTGAACTAGAACTGAACTAGAACTGAACTAGAACTGAACTAGAACTGAACTAGAACTGAACTAGAACTGAACTAGAACTGAACTAGAACTGAACTAGAACTGAACTAGAACTGAACTAGAACTGAACTAGAACTGAACTAGAACTGAACTAGAACTGAACTAGAACTGAACTAGAACTGACTAGAACTGAACTAGAACTGAACTAGAACTGAACTAGAACTGAACTAGAACTGAACTAGAACTGAACTAGAACTGAACTAGAACTGAACTAGAACTGAACTAGAACTGAACTAGAACTGAACTAGAACTGAACTAGAACTGAACTAGAACTGAACTAGAACTGAACTAGAACTGAACTAGAACTGAACTAGAACTGAACTAGAACTAAACTAGAACTGAACTAGAACTGAACTAGAACTGAACTAGAACTGAACTAGAACTGAACTAGAACTGAACTAGAACTGAACTAGAACTGAACTAGAACTGAACTAGAAACTGAACTAGAACTGAACTAGAACTGAACTAGAACTGAACTAGAACTGAACTAGAACTGAACTAGAACTGAACTAGAACTGAACTAGAACTGAACTAGAACTGAACTAGAACTGCACTAGAACTGAACTAGAACTGAACTAGAACTGAACTAGAACTGAACTAGAACTGAACTAGAACTGAACTAGAACTGAACTAGAACTGAACTAGAACTGAACTAGAACTGAACTAGAACTGAACTAGAACTGAACTAGAACTGAACTAGAACTGAACTAGAACTGAACTAGAACTGAACTAGAACTGAACTAGAACTGAACTAGAACCTGAACTAGAACTGAACTAGAACTGAACTAGAACTGAACTAGAACTGAACTAGAACTGAACTAGAACTGAACTAGAACTGAACTAGAACTGAACTAGAACTGAACTAGAACTGAACTAGAAACTAGAACTAGAAACTGAACTAGAACTGAACTAGAACTGAACTAGAACTGAACTACTAGAACTGAACTAGAACTGAACTAGAACTGAACTAAACTGAACTAGAACTGAACTAGAACTGAAGTAGAACTGAACTAGAACTGAACTAGAACTGAACTAGAACTGAACTAGAACTGAACTAGAACTGAACTAGAACTGAACTAGAACTGAACTAGAACTGAACTAGAACTGAACTAGAACTGAACTAGAACTGAACTAGAACTGAACTAGAACTGAACTAGAACTGAACTAGAACTGAACTAGAACTGAACTAGAACTGAACTAGAACTGAACTAGAACTGAACTAGAACTGAACTAGAACTGAACTAGAACTGAACTAGAACTGAACTAGAACTGAACTAGAACTAGAACTGAACTAGAACTAGAACTGAACTAGAACTGAACTAGAACTGAACTAGAACTGAACTAGAACTGAACTAGAACTGAACTAGAACTGAACTAGAACTGAACTAGAACTGAACTAGACTGAACTAGAACTGAACTAGAACTGAACTAGAACTGAACTAGAACTGAACTAGAACTGAACTAGAACTGAACTAGAACTGAACTAGAACTGAACTAGAACTGAACTAGAACTGAACTAGAACTGAACTAGAACTAGAACTGAACTAGAACTGAACTAGAACTAGAACTGAACTAGAACTGAACTAGAACTAGAACTGAACTAGAACTGAACTAGAACTAACTAGAACTGAACTAGAACTGAACTAGAACTGAACTAGAACTGAACTAGAACTGAACTAGAACTGAACTAGAACTGAACTAGAACTGAACTAGAACTGAACTAAACTGAACTAGAACTGAACTAGAACTGAACTAGAACTGAACTAGAACTGAACTAGAACTGAACTAGAACTGAACTAGAACTGAACTAGAACTGAACTAGAACTGAACTAGAACTGAACTAGAACTGAACTAGAACTGAACTAGAACTGAACTAGAACTGAACTAGAACTGAACTAGAACTGAACTAGAAACTGAACTAGAACTGAACTAGAACTGAACTAGAACTGAACTAGAACTGAACTAGAACTGAACTAGAAATGAACTAGAACTGAACTAGAACTGAACTAGAATAACTAGAACTGAACTAGAACTGACTAGAACTGAACTAGGAACTGAACTAGAATGAACTAGAACTGAACTAGAACTGAACTAGAACTGAACTAGAACTGAAGCTGAACTAGAACTGAACTAGAACGAACTAGAACTGAACTAGAAACTGAACTAGAACTGAACTAGAACGAACTAGAACTGAACTAGAACTGAACTAGAACTGAACTAGAACTGAACTAGAACTGAACTAAGAACTGAACTGAAGAACTGAACTAGAACTGAACTAGAATGAACTAGAATGAAACTAGACTGAACTAGAACTGAACTAGAACTGAACTAGACTGAACTAGAACTGAACTAGAACTGAACTAGAACTGAACTAGAACTGAACTTAGAACTGAACTAGAAACTGAACTAGAACTGAACAATGGAACTGAACTAGACTTGAACTAGAACTGAACTAGAACTGAACTAGAACTGAACTAGAACTGAACTAGAAACTGAACTAGAACTGAACTAGAACTGAACTAGAACTGAACTAGAACTGAACTAGAACTGAACTAGACTGAACTAGAACTGAACTAGAACTGAACTAGAACTGAACTAGAAACTGAACTAGAACTGAACTAGAACTGAACTAGAACTGAACTAGAACTGAACTAGAACTGAACTAGAACTGAACTAGAACTGAACTAGAACTGAACTATATGAACTAGAACTGAACTACTAGAACTGAACTAGAATTAAACTAGAACTGAACTAGAACTGAACTAGAACTTAACTAGAACTGAACTAGAACTGAACTAGAACTGAACTAGAACTGAACTAGAATTAAACTAGAACTGAACTAGAACTGAACTAGAATTAAACTAGAACTGAACTAGAACTGAACTAGAACTTACTAGAACTGAACTAGAACTGAACTATTTCAAAGTAAAAATTACCTTTCAGATTTTCGATTCTTAGAATCTATTATCATTCTTTGAACTTCTAAGAACAGTACCTAGAAATGAACAAAGTAATATTTAAATTAATAGGTAACAATAAAAAAATTCGTTTAAAATGCACTATATAAATTTAATTAAACATTCGGTGTCAACAGTTCACCGTTAAATATTCAACAATGAACATCTCTAAAGAGACTTGGAAAGTGATTTTATTTTTAGTTTTTGCACAATCAATATTAGCAAAAGCAATTGAATTTAAAGCCGACAATGGAGAGCTATATATATTGGAACCAAGTGAAGAGGTGAATTTATTTGAAAAAGAACAATAAATATTTAAAATAACTAAATCTGATCCTATTTATATTGTAAAAATTAAAGTATAACTGGTATCAGGCTTGGCTGACTTGTTCCCACCAAAATGGGCAACTTATAAATCTTAATACCGAGGAAAAGAGTAAACTTTTGCACAAAATATTTGAAAGTAATCAGGGTAAGTTTTCAATGAAAACTTAAAATAAAAGGCCGCTTTTGCTAATTTGAATTGTTTTAGTTCAATTTACAAATTTTTGGATCGGTGGCAAAGCTTCTGTAGATGAGAATAATAGTCCCTTTTATTGGCAGTCGTTGAAACAAGAATTTTCCTATGCCCAGTGGGATGAAAATCAACCTAATAAAAGTCTAACGGAGCCCTTATGCGTCTATATAACTAAAAACTCTGAAGTGCCCTACAGCTGGAGATCTGACACATGTTATGACCTTAAACTTGGTTACATATGCGAAAGGTCTGAATATTCAAATTCCCCGACAATAAAACAACATATCAACTTTAAAGACCACAATAAAATAGATGAACTATCGCAGTATTCATTATTGCCAAAGAATTTAAATAAGTTGGGAAATTATACTACTGCTTGGAGGGATCTGGTTAGAAAGGCTATAAGAAAAACGCAAATAAACATCGTTAGAAGCTTTTTTCAAATAGAACATTTTATTGCCAAGTTACGAGGCATTAAAGAAAACGTGAATTAAAAGTATATGTTGTGAAAATTTGAAAATAGAATACGGCTAAAAAATATAAAATTTTCAATATTTATCTAATTAATAAATATTTTTTTTAGTTCAGTTCTAGTTTAGTTCTAGTTCACATCTAGTTCAGTTCTAGTTCAGTTTTAGTTCAGTTCTAGTTCAGTTCTAGTTCAGTTCTAGTTCAGTTCTAGTTCAGTTCTAGTTCAGTTCTAGTTCAGTTCTAGTTCAGTTCTAGTTCAGTTCTAGTTCAGTTCTAGTTCAGTTCTAGTTCAGTTCTAGTTCAGTTCTAGTTCAGTTCTAGTTCAGTTCTAGTTCAGTTCTAGTTCAGTTCTAGTTCAGTTCTAGTTCAGTTCTAGTTCAGTTCTAGTTCAGTTCTAGTTCAGTTCTAGTTCAGTTCTAGTTCAGTTCTAGTTCAGTTCTAGTTCAGTTCTAGTTCAGTTCTAGTTCAGTTCTAGTTCAGTTCTAGTTCAGTTCTAGTTCAGTTCTAGTTCAGTTCTAGTTGAGTTCTAGTTGAGTTCTAGTTGAGTTCTAGTTCAGTTCTAGGTCAGTTCTAGTTCAGTTCTAGTTCAGTTCTAGTTCAGTTCTAGTTCTGTTCTAGTTCAGTTCTAGCTCAGTTTTAGCTCAGTTCTAGTTCAGTTCTAGTTCATTTCTAGTTTATTTCTAGTTCAGTTCTAGTTCAGTTCTAGTTCAGTTCTAGTTCAGTTCTAGTTCAGTTCTAGTTTAGTTCTAGTTCAGTTCTAGTTCAGTTCTAGTTCAGTTCTAGTTCAGTTCTATTTCAGTTCTAGTTCAGTTTTAGTTCAGTTCTAGTTCAGTTCTAGTTCAGTTCTAGTTCAGTTCTAGTTCAGTTCTAGTTCAGTTCTAGTTCAGTTCTAGTTCAGTTCTAGTTCAGTTCTAGTTCAGTTCTAGTTCAGTTCTAGTTCAGTTCTAGTTCAGTTCTAGTTCAGTTCTAGTTCAGTTCTAGTTCAGTTCTAGTTCAGTTCTAGTTCTAGTTCTAGTTCAGTTCTAGTTCAGTTCTAGTTCAGTTTTAGTTCAGTACTAGTTCAGTTCTAGTTCAGTTCTAGTTCAGTTCTAGTTCAGTTCTAGTTCAGTTCTAGTTCAGTTCTAGTTCAGTTCTAGTTCAGTTCTTCTTCACTTCTAGTTAAGTTCAGTTCAAGTCCAGTTCAGTTGTAGTTCGTTTCTGTAAATAATAATGTTTAATGCTAAATTGTAATATGTCAACTTTGAATATCAAAAAACATTTCTCATTAATATTACTAGAAATTTAATTAACACTTAATGTAGGGCAATATAACAATTGCTTGTTGCATTTGCAGTTTGTGTGGAATTTAAATGACAAAATATGCAAATAAAGAAAACTCTTCATAAATAAACATAATTATGAAGAAATTACTCTTACTAGTTTATAACAACTTTATGCTCTTAAGTTTCGTTAAGTTTTTATAGCAAAGTTGGTTGTGCTCTCTGTACAATATTAAAGAGAAAACGGGAAATAAAAAAAAGTTTTTGTATTGAATTTTTTTGCATAAAGACAAAGCGGAAGTAAACAACAGTTGTTTTGTTTTCTTTTTGGATATTTTTGTTTTTGTGGGGTATTTTTTGACTGGTTGGGTAAATATAGTTATAAGTATATTCCGGTTGTTTGATGATTAAGAGAGTTGAAAGTGTTTAAGAGAGAGAGAGAGGGAAGAGTTTGTTGTGCTATGTTTGTTATCATTGTGATAGTAGGCTAATGATGATTTAGTTTGCTGTTTTGATGTTTTGTTGTGATAAATAAGAAAAAGGGAAATTTTGTTAGAAAGTTGGTTTTTATTTAAGTTTTATTGATGTAAGAGTGATAGTTAGATGTTTTGTTTTGTAGAGAGATAATTTCTTTATAATTGTTTTGTTTACTGTTTTGTAATGAGATTTTCTTTATTGTTGATTTGTGGTTGTAATATTAAGAGAGTGTGAAATATCTCTTTGAATTGGGGAGCATTAAATATTTTCGTTAAATTTACTTGTACTCGTCGTTTTACTAGTTTGTTGTATACTTTATTAAAAAAAGTACAACAACATCATTATCATCTTAAAGCAGCAGCAGCAAAACACGATTATTTGTGGAGTGTGTTAATGATGATGTTGTTGTATTTTGGGGTATTTTCTGTGTGTATGTATATGACTGGGTACTTTTTTTTTACTTCTTCTTCTATATGCTTGTTTTTATTGTTGTAGTGAGTGTGTATTACACAGAGTAGAGCTCTGTGTTATTATTATTTTCTGTTGTGACTGTCTGACTGACACCAACCAAATGAAATCCAATTTGAAAACTTCAGTTATAGTTGGAGCGTATAGCTAAACGGTACGTTTTTAAAAAAGCGACGCTTGTCAATTTTTTTCGTTAACCCTGTAACGTTTCTTCTTCTTCGTGTGTATATGTGTATGTGTGTGTTACCACTTAAAAGAGTTTTTCTTGATTATAATACGGACGGTTTTAAATTTTACAATATTTTTTTTCTTGTTTGTTATTAAATTAATGTAACGAGCGTAAGCTTAACGAAAACGTTAACGTTGTAGTTTTTTAAAAGCGTTTAAAACAAAAAAAAAATTATTAAAAAAAATTTGCAAAAATTTATAAGAAATCCCCAAAAAAAAAAAGTGTTGTTTTCTGTGTGTCGTGTCTTTTAAAGCTTAAAGTTAAACAAAAATTCGTGATTTCCTCGTTATTTTTTTCCCTACTTTTTGCTTCCCTTTACCACGACCACTTTTCCATTACTCGTTTGCCTCTGTCCTGTGTCAAGCAATTCGTTGTTAACAGAAAAAAATCGTGTTTTTTGTTGTTTTTTTCTTACGTTTCTTTTGCTTGATTCGTTTCTGTGTTTAACAATTTTTTTTTGTGTTGGTTCCTGCATCTGAAATTTTGTAATTATTATAACCAAACATCATCAGTTCGTGTAACAAAATAAAAAAAAAATTGTGTTTATAACAAAATATTATAAAAAGTTATTTAACCAAAATTATCAAACATATTGTAAGTGTAAATCTTAAAAATTTTAAAAAAAATAATAAAATAAAAATAAAATTTTTTATTAAAAATTAAAAAAATAATAAAAAAATATTTCCAAAATATCAAAAGTGAAATTTGTTGATTAATTAAGTAAATATTAAAATTTTAACAATTTTTAAGTGTTATTTATTTAAAGCTGTTAAATTTTGCCAAAAAATCTCATTAATCTTCTAAAACTAACAAAACTTTCAATTTCATTTTTTGAAAGATTTCTCATCAATTTTATTATATATAATAATAATGTTGTTGTAACAATAATAATACATAATAACATTGAAACTGATTTCTGACCTTTTCATTTTTATTTCTGCTGATCCCCCCTTCTCACTTCTCTTAAAAGATCTCTCTGCTAAAAAGCTACTCTTTATATTGTTGCTAATACTGCTGCTTCTTCAGTTTCAAATGTTTATTGTTGTTATTATTGTTTGTCTATTCCCTACATCTTCACTTTCTTAAATTGTTGATCAAGCTACAAAACAAATGATAGAGCAGCATAAATAGTACCTCAGTCTCTGACGCAGTGCTCAACCTTAAGACGACTGAGACTCTCTTTTTAAGATCGTTTAAAGTAATTTATTGCTTTTAAACTAGTTTTTTTACAATATTGAACCTTTTGTTTGTTCTCATTTAAATGTTAATTACAAAATTTTAAAAAGTGTTTATTGATTGCTTAATGTTGTAAACCGGTTCAGTTTTAACCGGTGTTTGGTAATAAAGTTTACTTAAGATTACAATTGTTTAATAACTACATATTTAATCGGTTTAAATAATAAAACTTTGTGATCTTTAAGAAAATATTAAAGTTTTTTGCTCTAGATGCTAAAGAGGTTAACTTAACTTTTTATGAAATTTCAAGAACCAGGAAAGTTTTTGGTGTTTGGTTCCAAAATATGTTCAAAAGTTAGAAGAATTAAGACACTGATGTTGTTTTTGATAGTAGAACGGACGGACGGACAGACGGACGGGACAATTTGCTCAAATATTTCTATTCAGAACAGAATAGTTTGGGCACGTCCTATCCGGTTAAGAAAGGAACAAACATTTGCTCTTTGATGATGTTATGGTGCATAAACACTAAACACTTGTTTGATAAGCTTATTTTATAAGGCAAATTCCATTAGAATCGGTCCATAATTGACCAAATCCGGTACATTATTTTCACAATAAAATTATTATATATTTTAAGTCCTTATAGAAAGTGCAATCAATTTAGTAATATCTGCCTGTCTGTCTGTCTATGCATCCAACACTAATTCTTCGTTTAATAACCTTACTTTATCAATCAAATTCCAGTAGAATCGGTCCATAATTGACCATAGCTGATCCATATTGTTCTCTTTTCAATATTAAATTTTTATATATTTTGAATCCTTATAGGTAATGTAATCAGTTTAGTGATATATCTGTCATCATCTGTTATGGTGCCCCAGTACTAATTATTTGTTTAATAACTTTATTTTCGCAGTTAAAGTCCAGTAGCATCGATCCATAATTGACCATAGCTGATCCATATTGTTCTATCTTCAAAATGAAATGTTGATATATTTTGAATCCTTATAGATAGTGCCAATCAATTTAGCGATATCCATATGCATGTTCATGATTTCGTTTGACTGTCCGTATGTTTGTTAAAAACAACATTTTTGAAGACCCTAGATATTTTTGGGTTCCAAATTTTTATTAACTATATCAATTATGCAATCAAGAAGTTAAGAAATATAATTAATACTGTGATAAAACTCAATACAAATACGTTGTTTAATCACTTTATTCCAACTGTCAAGTTCTTGGAGAACCGGTCCATAATTGTCTTTAACCGGTCCATATTGTTAATATATATAATTTGCACAATATAAATTGTTATGAATTCTTTTAGATGCTCACTTAGTGATGTCCGTCTGTCTGTCTTTTTGTCCTCAACTTTGTTAAAAACAATTTTTTGAAAACCCTAGATAACTTTGGGATCTAAGGTCATATGCTGTCAAGAAAAACGATTTTGTATATCGTTAGCCTATATTCAAAAAGTACTAAGTAAGCATAAGTTCAAAATTATGCAATTTTTCTTTTAAGTTATGCTATCAAGAAGTTGATAATTAGAATTAATACTGTGATAAAACTCAACACAAATACATTGTTTAATCACTTTACTTCAACTGACAAATTTTTGGAGAACCGGTCCATAATTGTCTTTAACCGGTCCATATTGTTAATATATATAATTTGCACAATATATATTATTGTGAATCCTTTTAGATAGCGAACTGGATTTAGCGATATCCGTCTGTGTTCATCTGTCTGTCTGTCCGTAATTTTATTGAAAACAATTTTTTTAAAGACCCTAAATATCTTTGGGATCCAAGGTCCTATTCTGTCAGTAACAACGGTCTTGTATATCGATAGCCTATATCCAGAAAGTACTAACTAAGCTTAAGTTCAAAATTATGCAATTTTCCTTTCTGTTCTTCTGAAAACTAGAATTTTTGAGTTACTCTTCACCTCTGTAATGGAAGCAAATACTTTATATGTTTGGATTAATCTTTTATAGGGAAATATTTATACCAATATATAACTTTTGGCCCTACCTATAAGGGACTTTCGAATTTTAATTGTTTTAGGAAGACGGATGGACGGACGTCTAATTTGGTCCAACTTTTGTTTATAACAATTTTACCAATTTTCAGCAAGGAATATTGTTCAATATTATATTTAAGGAACATTTTTGTCTTTCGATTGGGCCTAGAAGAGGCGATCCTAATCTTTCCTGGTCTTTAATAGACTTAGCTTGATAATTTTGGAAGTTTATAAGAACCTAGAATTATAAAGTTTTAGTCGGATTAACTGACGGCCTTTTGATTTTGTAAATAGATTAACTTTCCATTTAAAGGTAAAATCAATCTTTATGATGATGGATCGAATAATGATCAGCTGTTTTCATAAGTAGGTTTGTTACTACACTGAATGGGTTAATAACCTTGCTAAGTTAAAAAGCTGCATTACTATTTAAAATTTTCTAAAAGCCAAACAATTGCACTTCGTTTTATTTGTTTATAACAATGACTATTTAAATGCTAAATAATTAACTATAAACTATTCATGCATCCTCATACACATATTAATGTCAAAACAAATTTTCCAGTAGCCCGTTTTCAAAACGATTTAAATACATTTAATTTCTACCTACAAATCGTGATAAATGCATTAAATTGTGCTAGAAAAAATAGTATTGTATTCTATAGACTATATGACGCAAATAAGCATTAAAAATCAAATTAAGATAACTATAAATATCTACATGTATTTATATTTAAATATACATATGGTTGGGATTTTGATGACAGTAATTAGTTTTATATGGTGGTTGGTTAATTGACATATAAAATTAATTTAAGTTTTTTTGTTCTTTTTCATTAAATACACAAAAAGAGAATTCAATTAGCAAGAACTAAACAGAATCAAGTTAAAAGCGAAATATAATAATCTGCGTATTATCACTATAACAAAATTATCAAAGTGAATTCCTCTTCCTCTTACAGCTTAGCAGTATTTTACTAAATTTATTTTACAGCAACACCAGCACCTTTACCCCTTTACCTACTGCTTAGCATTTTCGTAAATATATATTAACATTAATTTCCCCAATGACTGTCTCATAAACTTAACACTGTTATCGAAAATAATATAAAATAATTGGCATACCTTAAGGGTGGTTAACTTGTTTAACAAAGTGTATATTTATGGGTAGATGAAAAAAAAACATGTAAAGACCGCCCCTGCAAGTATGTTAATCATGTTTATGATTGAATATTTTGATAACATAAAAGAATTTATTGTTATATTCGATAAATTTATGTTTTTCCCCGTTTTTTGTAACAAATTTAGTTTAAGGGATTTTCCTCTTGATATTAATTTAATAAGAGTCTCATAAAATGTTAAACTACTGTGGCAGTTTAACTTGTAATGCATACTTTTAGGTGGATTTTTTATTAAGTATGCACGGCATACTTTTTTGATAAATAAAATTGGGGAATTGTTAATTCTGGTTATATTTACTATTAAAAAACTGATAATCAGATTTTGGGGGAAATAATAAAATTGAATTCAGGAATTTCTGAGAATATTCCATAAATGAATCTTGATTTACTTTTCTGTTGCATACTTTAAGGCATAAATTTATAAACTGAACTAGAACTGAACTAGAACTGAACTAGAACTGAACTAGAATTGAGCTAGAACTGAACTAGAACTGAACTAGAACTGAACTAGAACTGAACTAGAACTGAACTAGAACTGATTTAGAACTAAACCAGAACTGAGCTAGAATTTAACTAGAAATACACTAGAAGTGAACTGGAAGTGAACTAGAACTGAACTAGAAATGAATTAAAAGTGAACTAGAACTGAACTAGCAGTGAACTAGAAATGAACTAGAACTGAACTAGAACTGAACTGGGACAAAACTAGAACTGAACTAGAAATGAACTAGAAGTGAACAGGATGTGAACTAGAACTGAACTTGAACTGAACTAGAAGTGAAGTGGAAGTAAACTAGAACTGAACTAGAATTGAACTAGAAGAAAACTAGAACTGAACTAGAACTAAACTAGAACTGAACTAGAACTGAACTAGAACTGAACTAGAACTGAACTAGTACTGAACTAGAACTGAACTAGAACTGAAGTAGAACTGAACTAGAACTGAACTAGAACTGAACTAGAACTGAACTAGAACTGAACTAGAACTGAACTGGGACAAAACTAGAACTGAACTAGAACTGAACTAGAACTGAACTGAACTAGAACTGAACTAGAACTGAACTAGAACTGAACTAGAACTGAACTAGAACTGAACTAGAACTGAACTAGAACTGAACTAGAACTGAACTAGAACTGAACTAGAACTGAACTAGAACTGAACTAGAACTGAACTAGAACTGAACTAGAACTGAACTAGAACTGAACTAGAAC